AGAAGAAGAAGAAGAAGAAGAAGAAGAAGAAGAAGAAGAAGAAGAAATGTTTGCTTCTGTCCACCTCCTAAAAGATAATAGAGAGAGAACTACAAGGGAAATGTTTTGGGAAGATGAGTTCCAGAGATGATGATCACAATCATAAAAGTGAAAAGGGGAAGATTAGTTGGGAACTACATTCTTAAGGTTTCCATGATGGGAACGCCTTGTACATAATGGTGGCATGCGATGAGATGCTAATAAATCCAAAATAAATAGTTTATCCTTGAATGAACAGGAAACAAAAAGTGAAATCCAGGAGATTTGGTAGTCATGCTACAATAAGGAATAATACCAACCAACCAAATATTCTGTAAGTATTTGAGCAAATATGAAAGGCATAGATAAAAAGGTAACTTATACAATAACCACTTTAAGAAATTGCAAGTTATAGATAAAATATTAACTTTTAGTATGTATCTTACAGTTTAAAATCTCCCTCTAGAACAATATTTTAGGTTACATTTTGTTTATTTTGTCTTCTGTCTATAGCTTTTTCAGGAACTTTAAGACAGTAGACTTGATGCTAACCCAATGAATTTAAATTTGAAAGAAACCCATGAGATGGTAAAACTGAGATGAAAGCAAACTAGATCCCCATATTTCAGGGTAGACCAAATGCTGTATTTGATATATCGGACGTCCTCGAATGGCCCAAATAATTAATTAATTAAAATCAGAAATTCCTTCTCTCAAATTCCCATCCAGCTTTTATTAAACTGGTATAAATAATGTCATTTGATATATCCTAGAGATTTATCTGGGAACTAATGTCTAATGTCAGTTTAAACAACAATAATAGCAATAAAAAAGCTTAAATATATTCTTGGATAACAGTCAAAATATATAACTAGTTTTACTGTCTAATGGGGATGAATTTAGAAATTATGGCTGTTGCTGATGCTGTAAAAATTTCCCATATAGTAAATTAACCCATAACATTGGTTCAATAAGTCTGCAAAGTAAACATTAGGCTCTTGTTCCTGTGCATTTCATCTTCCCAAAGTGTTACACAGAATAACTAAAATTTAATTAGCTGTTGCCCTTGTGCTATCATAAACCTTACTTCCCTGCCATGCATCCGCAGGGGAATTGTACCGGGGTTTGTTCAGAAATAAATAATGCATCGTATGTATCTGTGACAGTTTCTCCATCAAGGGACAGGCAATATTTTCCACTCCTCTCTCCGTAACATCTAAGCAACATATGCATGGCCTGACATCACAATTTTATGCATTTGCCAACACAACCTGCACATGGGGCCAGTCCGTATGCTAGGAAAACTCCCCATAAAAATGTTAAGGACATTGGAAAGTTGTTGTGAAAGCAGCAAAGAAGAGGTAGGATATAAGGCTGCCTTTGATACTCCAACCCTAGCTTCAGTTTATAGTTCAGCCTCAGCAAGCATTATTTAATCACTATTACTTTTAATAGAAGATGCAGGTACCTGATTTTAGTACTAGCTAAAAGAGATGCATAGGAAAAGGCAGAGATGCATTGTGGGGGGCGGGATCAATTTGCTGAGATCCAGTAATGAATATTAGAGGGTTGAGATTGATTGAAAGATAAGGTGAACTTCATACAAGCCCAAATTCACAATTAAAAAGCTGAGTCTACAATATGGTAAGGTGAGTTGGGCTGAGTGAGACCAGCTGGCCCAAAGTCACCCAGCTTTTGTGGCCAAGGCAGAACTAGAACTCACAAGTCTCCTTGTTTCTGAACTAGTGCATTACCACTACACCAAACTGGCTCTCAAATAGCACAGGTTAGAAGAAAACACAAAATCTTCTTCTTGGTTATACTAATGCCCAGTCTTCTGTCTTTCTGGATCTTGAAGAATGACCATTGTTAAAAGGATATTTAGCTTATGCTCTTACTAGAACATTTTGCCTGGTATTACGAGAGGGTAATTGAATTGCAAATTCTCAAGTTGACCATGGAATTAACTTTAAGAATAACTTCCGACCAGTCTCTCTGTTCAGTCCAACTTACCTCAAGCTGTGGAAATACACAGGTAGTTAGGCTGAAAGAGAGGGACTGGCCCAAAGTCACCTACTGAACATCTGCAGCTGAGGGTGAACTTGAACCCGGCTCTCCCCAGTCCTAGTCCACAGCCACACTGATGATGAAGATGAAGATGGACATGATGATGTTGAATCAACCTAATGTAAGAAAGGGAGAATTGATTAACCTAAGCAAGTAAGATTCCAATAATCTTTTAACTAAAAAATAATCATTACGCAGGTTACTTCAACAAACTAGAAGCACACATGCACCCAGTCTCAGGTAGAAAATTAACCATCCTTTATTGCTTTCAGAACCGACAATAATCCCTCTATATCTGCCATTACTCAAAAAGTCCTATAATGTGATCTAATACATCTCATATAATCCCCTTGATGATACATAAAACCAACACATAAAAGGAATACATTTTCATTAGAAGGACATGATAACTAAATGTCAACATCATAGCAACAATCAAAGGACTAACAGGGAAAAAAAGTTTTTCTGCAATCCAATCTTAATTTTTAATCTAAATTCCAAAAATGAAGGTTATATTCTTTCAAGGTATTGTGTTGTAGGTAATCTACAATGAATTCACTTGGACATTTTGTTCATAGCGAGGATAAGAGATTATCCTACTGAAATATACACAGGTTAAACAAGATCACAGCTGTTCAAAATGTCTGAATAGAGGCAACACTATTACACACAAAGCATTTCTGTAGTTTTGGCTGTAGCACCTTGATGTGAATAAGTAACACTTTGGTTTCCTTACTACTTAATGTATGAAACATTTTGTAAAGTTTTGCCTTTCACAGACTGAAATTATATACAACTCATAGTCAAATAAACTTAGGGGGTAGGATTTCAAGATCAATCCCACAGAAATCCAGTAAATCATAAAAAATATGAAGATATTGAAATGTTCCTGAGATCTATCATCATTTCTCTGTAGCTTTAGAAGATCCATAGAAGTTTGAAATTTCTTAACCGTGGCAATCTTAAGATGAGTGGACTTCAACTCTAAGTATCCTCAAAGCAGCCATTCTGGTTGGAGAATTCTGGGAGTTGAAGTCCATCCATTTGAGAGTTGCCAAGGTTGAGAAACACTGCTCTATAGTCACTGGTCCCTTTCCCAGCTAAAAAACAGGGTACAGTAGAAAAACTGATGTTTATTATGGATAGAGCAGCACTAAATACTACCGATATTTTTTAAAATTTATTTTTAATTTTAATTATGCGAATACAATACAATACATCCAACTTATCCTTGTTATACATAAATATATTTTACTTCATCATTTATAATCTCCTTATTAAAATATTAATTACTAATTAATCAAATCATAACTACTAGTATTTTGACTTTGCCTTCTATTATATAACCATTTATAAAATTTATTCCATGTTTTATGATATTTAGACTCTCCTTTGCCTTTTATTTCTAAAGTTAACCTATCAGATTCTGCACATCATAATTTTTCTTATTATTTCTGTTTCTGGAGGTATAATTTCATTTTTCCAATATTGTGCATATAATATTCTAGCCACTGTCAATACATGTACTATTAGATATATTATTTCCTTCTTAAATTTTTCTGATATTATTCCAAGCAGAAAAAAATCTGGTTTAAATGAAATACACTCTCTCACCATTTCTTCTATCCATGTTTGAATCAGTCTCCAATATTTTTTTTGCAGCATTGCAAGTCCACCATATGTAAAAAAAAAAAAAAAAAAGTGCCAGGTATAGCTTTACATTTCCAACAATTTGGAGATATATTTTTAAACATTTTAGAAAGTCTTGCTGGTGGAAGATGCTACCTGTAAAAC